TTGTAGGGAGAATCAATAAATTATGAATTATTGCTATTGTGTAAATAATGTAACCACGTAGCCTAATCCATGAAAAAGTAACTGTAGTCTGTTCAAGAGTATTTTAAAATGTAATAAAACCTAATTGCAAGTACTTTATTTTTGGAATCTGATTACATAATCCAGATTACATGTAATCAGTTACTACCCAGCTCTGACTATACAGATCATAAATGCTTGTGCAAATATCATTTAACAATATAACACACACACATTGCATATGAAGTGAGGTGGTGAATACATGAAATCATTGCTAGTGTTTATACAGCGCATAGTTAAATTATAAATGGGGTAGTTGTCATTTATTTATCTTTCCTTTAACACATTTTTATGGTTTTATTAGTCTCTTTTGGTTTTATAATTGTTTTACTGTTTAGCTGAAAATCCAGATAAGCTAGTATCCCTTGTGACAACTTGCCCCCATAGTGTACCCCTATCTGTCTTCCTGTGCAATACCGGTAGAAGTGTTCAATAAGACATTAAGTTTGTTTACACAAAGATTAATAATCATAAAAACAACTTGAGAAATGTTCACTTGAGTAAAAGGTGTGCACTTAATATACACATGTAAGCAGTGTTGGGGAGTAACTATAATCTAAAAAATGCTGGGTTGTTTCAACCCAACGTTGGGTCAAATATGGACTAACCCAACTGTTGGGTTAAATTTTTACATTACATTTTTAACCCAAAAGTTGGGTTAGTCCATATTTGACCCAAAGTTGGGTTGAAACAACCCAGCATTTTTTAGAGTGTAGTTACATGTAACTAAATTATGGAATTTAATTACAAAATAAATGTAATTGTAATCAGTTGCAGTTACTGAGAATGTGCAATGAAATTACAGTTGTATATGTTAATGTATATGTAATGTTAACGATTACAAACGGTTACATCTGATTTTTTCCCCCACACACACCCACGTACAAATTTAATAGATTTCTTTGATAAATTGCGGTGACTGCTCTAAAATATGAGACACAGTGCTTCAGGAGTTTAGTACACAGAATAGTACACATGCTTATTCAATAACTGTTTTATTTCCTATTTGGGTTTATGCATATGCTTTCTTTTTCAGATTAACTGTTTTCTAAAAAGGCATTGTTAGATGCCAGTGTTTCCTGTCATAACTATGCAAAGATTTGATTTCAAAAACAGTATCATAAGCTATTAAACTATATCTTGTTTTGGTTTTAAATCTGTATTTAACCTCAGAACGATCTCAAAGTAAGTCTGATTTTGTGGTGACTGTGCTTTAAAATTTAATTATTATAATCTTAATTCAAGTGATGAAGGATTTCTAAAGTGACAGTAATCAGTGTTGAATAATACTACATGTTTGAAAATGATTAACAGTTGAAAACATTAGACATTTAGAAAAGTAATCAGTTACATTACTTTAATAAAGTAATTGAAATAGCTAACACCTACTTATTACATTTTAGATAGGGTAACTTGCAATCTGTAACCTATTACATTTCCAAAGTAACCTTCCCAAAACTGTGTGTAAGCAACACTAGCAACTGTAGTACTATAATACTATTGAGTACAATGTAGGCTAAATGCTGTATGATGGTAAAAGAATGTGGCAGTCATTCAGTTCAATGGCATATACTGTAGGCTATATTCATTGTACCATCTATCGTCATGCAATTTTCTTAAATCGTTGCATTTCCTTGCAAGGCATTAAAAAGAGAACAGTGTTTTAGATTCACTGCAGCCCCTGCGGGTCTCATACAGTGGGCTGTTTGTGTTTGGCAGCAAACTGTGGGAGAGCTCGCGCCTTGAATTCTAATCTTGCACGTGCCTCGCATATAAAGGGACAAAACATCACGAGGGCTTCACAAGCTCTCACACGCAATCTTTTCGGACTGACAGTTTTTAATATTTAAACAACGTTACATGTCGTGTACAGATTTGGCGAATATCAACTCTTATTTTCAATGGACGCCGTTGCATTCATGTTGCATTCTGTCTTTCTTTACGAGATTGATTCTCCTTCAGCATTTACGCGGGGGTTTCCATGGCAACCGCTGAATCCTCAAGCACGCGCGGCTTCTCATTCCCGCGCTGGTCACCTGATGGCGCGAAACTGGGCAACAGAACAGCACGAAAAAGTACCTCAGAGGCCGAAAACTTAATTTCAAGAAGTAAAACGTCTCTCCCTATTTTAAATGATAAATGTTTATGATGTGAACTAGGGTTTTACGTAACTTTCCACAGGTTTTAGTTTCTTTCCCAAACATAAACGTCGTTAAATATGCTTTCGGATGTGGGTCTCAAGAAGATAACAAACAAGACTGCTGTCGAGGACGAGGTATTTGATTCATACACTATTTTTATGTGGGTACTAATTCCTCCATCCATTGCTTTGCTTGATGGTTACAGAATTGAACACATTGGGTCCTTATTTAGGGTAGATGCCATATTGCATTTTATTTATAACACGAACAGTCCGTTTATTGTGCTATATTGTCTTAAGATCTTATACCACGAAATATGAACATACATAGGTATTTTCAGTGTTTGACACCCAGATACACGGTATCATCAATTAAACCACTACACCTATCCTTTATACCCTCGTTAGTGGCGAGACATTAAGTTCAAGTTCATTTTATTTGTATAGCACATTTACAGCAGCCGCTAGGCTGACCAAAGTGCTTTACAGAAGAGAAATATATAAAAACATACACAGAAAACAAGCCAAATAAAAATATGAACAACCCATTAAAAAATTACCGAATAACAGTAATCAATACACTAAGGAAAACAGATAGGTTTTTAGCAGGGACTTAAAGACAGGCAGAGAAGGGGCCATTCTAATTTCTAAAGGCAGGGTATTCCAAAGCCGTGGCCCTGCCACCGCAAATGCACGCTCCCCTCTACACTTAAGTCTAACATGTGGAACTACCAACAAAGCCTGGTCGCAAGATCTTAGGCTTCTAGATGGAGTGTATAAATGAAGGAGTTCAGAGAGGTAGACAGGAGCTAGGTTATGTAACGATTTAAAAACAAAGAGTAGAATTTTGAAGTCTATTCTCTGATGAACCGGCAACCAGTGTAGAGATCTGAGAATTGGAGTAATGTGTTCATGTTTGCGACACTTCAGAAGAAGTCTGGCCGCAGCGTTTTGGACTAGTTGAAGGCGCGCAATTTGAGATTTATATATACCGCAATATAAGGAATTGCAGTAATCTAGTCGAGATGTAACAAACGCATGAACAGCCATTTCTAGAGTTTTTGGAGTGAGAAAGTCTCTGATTTTAGACAGTAGACGAAGTTGATAAAAACTGGATCCGATAACGGAGGAGATATGTTTATCAAATTTTAAATGCTGGTCGACAAGAACACCTAGGTTCCGCACCTGTGAAGATCTAAAAACAGAGTGCAGAGAGAGAGTTATTTAAAATTGTTACTATCCCACCCCCTTGTCCACTCAGACGAGGAGAGTTAAAAAATGTAGTCAGCAGGGACCAGATCTGAGAAAGGAATATGAAAGGCCATTAAATATGGCGTCCGCACCCATACACAGTCAATTATTTGCTGTCATAGGAACTTGTCAAAGAAAACATTTATTTATTTGTTTTAATCTCGAATCATTAGTTAAGTGTAACAGAAGCTGCTTCACAATTCTGCAAAAATACGGTCAACTAAAAGCAGGTAAAAGACAGCCCTCTGCTGGCTAAAGCCTGGTAATACAATTCCTGTTATTGATTTGGTCAGTTATTTGGAGTAGTGTTTTCTTTTTTCTCAGGTCATCTACTCAGCGTTTCTTATATGATTTTTGGTTTATGGCTCCAGATGGATGTTGAGAATATAATCGTAGTCTGGATCTTCACCTTTTTTCCCCATGCTGTTGGTCCTTAACTCCTTTTTTAAACTAATTTATTAACACTGAGGATAAATTGGCTTGTAAGAACAATATTACAGGATATTATATTAATAATAACAATAAACTCAAAATGATTTATAGGAATTCTGAATGTATAAATATAATTCTTAGAAGAAACTAATATAATTAGAGAACATGTTTACACAATAAAATAAAATAAAAAGAATAGAATAAACATTTTGACCATTATGTTATTATATTGACCATATGACAGCCTTTTCTTTTCTTTTGTTACTGGATTTATTTAAAAAAAAAAAAAGAGGCATCATAGAATAGAATGAATTTCAAATAGATTAAACATCTTTGCATGTTATTCCAACCAAGTAATTTTATATATTTTTACTTAATCCAAGTGTTGCGTTTCCATAGTTATTAAAAAAAAAACGTATACATATTTAATTCTGAATTAGTATTGCTATTCCATTTGCAAACCTCTAGGGCTTCACAAACCTTGAAAAACCTCCCACTGGCCTGATTTTTTTATTTATTTATTTTTTACTAAATTTCATCTTTGATGAAACTGAACACTGGGGCCCCCCAAGGATGTGTGCTGAGCCCCCTCCTCTTCACTCTGCTGACCCACGACTGCACACCGTCACACAGCTCCAACCTCTTCATTAAGTTTGCGGATGACACGACTGTAGTGGGTCTCATTAGCAACAGAGATGAGACAAACTATAGGAGCGAGGTGAGCCGCCTGGCCGGGTGGTGTAGTGACAACAATCTCTCTCTGAATGTGGAGAAGACGAAGGAGATTGTTGTTGACTTCAGGAGAGTGCGCACTCAGCATGCTCCTCTGTCCGTCAATGGTGTGACTGTGGAGAGGGTGAGCAGCACCAAGTTCCTGGGTGTGCACATCACAGAGGATCTCTCCTGGACTGACAACACCACAGCACTGGCCAAGAAAGCACAGCAGCGTCTAATTTCAATTCTCTGTGTGTATGTGCTGTACATGTGGAAGAATTGACAATAAAGCAGACTTGACTTGATCAGAAGATAGCTTCCAATTATAATGCACATGTGACTATTTCAGACAGATAAGACACAGATTAACAGGAGTGATTGTCTCATAAAAAGATTTATTTTCTGCCTAAATGTACAAAGGCAAGTTACAGTATTGTATAAAAAATGTAGCAATTTACACTTTACATGAGAGATCCCTAGGAAGAGAGAGTGGGACAGAGACAGCTAGACAGTGAGGAAGGCAGGGAAAGAGAGAGCGATGGTGTACAAAGAGAAGTGTTTCCAAACACAGAAATGAAGAGGTGTAAACATCTTTCTTTCAAGTACCGATGACCGACACTGAGCCGCTGCTCTCTATGGATGAGGGGTGGGTGGGGCTTAATTAGTGGGATGGGTTGTGGGAGGGGCCTAATAAAAACAGAAAATAGAAATTATACCAAAAAAGCAAATTCCCTCTTCTCTTCCCACAAGGATCGCACAGGGCAGTCTATATTAGCACCGTCTGAGACAAATATAAACGAATGTTTGAACTGTTAAAACCGGCCGTTTCGTCTTTCTACAAGGAGAAAACTTGAACTAGAAAAAACAACAGCAACAACAAAAGAAGAACCCTCAAAAATAAATTAAAACAATCAAGCGCTTTTTCCTCAACAATTATGAATCAAGTCACCAGACAGCACGGGTTTACTGGCTAAATGCGCGAAGACAGAACAACTAAAAGTGAGGTTATTAATATATATAAAAATCCTAACTCTCTCGTATTAGCGCGAGCCTTTTGATGCTGATCTGAGACCAGTGCTGCGATATCTCTTATTTACTGTTTAGGGTTTAGGTAGAGAAAGCTGGTCCTAAATATAGCATAAAAAGTGTAAAGTTTTCCATCTGCACAGAGAGGATAAAATAAAAATTCTTAAAGAGATCTGGCCCGGGTCTCTCCTACAACAAAATAAAACGAATGCATTGTGCCATTAGGCCTCATTAGCATGAGCATTAGTTAAAATCAGATTAGGGGTTTGTGGTGACATTGAAATTAATGCTCAGTTATAAATTTAAGGAGCAAAAAACCCATCTTGCAGATACTGAACGTTTGCCGTTTTGTCTCACGACTGAGATGAAAAACAAACGGTCATGTTTAACATGGGGGAAAAGCCGCCTCTTCACTATAAATGAATTACGTTAAGTAATGTCTTCTTCTCTGTGCTGTTCAATAATCAAGTCTGAATACAGCAGAGAGCGATGAACATGCCAGGATGATTTAAATGGCTCAGATTTCAATAATGCTCTCCTGAGAGTTTCAGATTCACACAATAACTGCATGATGATGAACTGGAAAAACTAGCTCCAGATAGCACCGGACTCGGGTTGTCGCTTACTTCGCCATAGTTCCCTTCTGAAATATGAACGTGCCATTGCGATGTGTTTTGCAGGGGTGCTGTCTACAAATCCTGACGTTTTATTAAAAATGACTTTATTTCAATAAACACAAAACATGTGCTTCTAAACAGTTTCAAAGCAGAGTGGGACCGACTTGACGCTGAAGAGGAGGGGTAGAAAAAGTAGTAAAAAAACAAAAACACTTCCAATATAAAGCCGTTATACCAGCTAAACGTTGATATTATGTCAACAATGGTAGAAAAAAAGGCTAACAGACAAAAAAATAAGAGAGAGTAAGACAATCCGATAGCATCCAACAACCTTTTTTAAAATAATTCCTTTGTACAATATATACAGAAAGCACATAGTGAGGGAAGAAAAGGAAGGACGCCTGCTTGTGTCGCATTGCTCTCCGTTTGGATTAATGCTTTTACCGAGTGCTGGAATATACCATGCACACGTACAGAAGAAAGTGAGGGAACGGTTTTTCAGGTCTTCCTTGTTTCGTGCTCCGCAAGTCTGTGGACCAACCCAAAGTAGAAGAAGTCTGGAAGCTGGATGCCGGCTCTAAGCCTCTTTTGGGGTTATCTTACTCGGATCGCTCTAAGCCTTCAAGGTTCACCCCATTTTGGACTTCACTCATACAGTCTGGCATGAGATTCGCAAGCAGCAAAGTATCCGTGTGTGAAGGTTCAGTTCGTGACCAGACACACACAGTTCAATAGAGTCTGGTAACTCCATTGGCAAACACACACATCGTGTCCCAAATGACTATCTAGAGCCTGGGAGAAGCAGATAGCCTTGTGTCCGCATATGATAACGGTCAATACAGGCCGGAAAAATCCGTAAATCCAGTCTGGAAGTCAAAGTTCCTGTTTTTTGGGACACTCCATGTAAGCATGTCAGAGAGCTGCCAATGCTTCATCTTCTCTCCACGATCCGGATAATCCAAAACGTCAGAAGACCCATCACTTAACTGAAAATCGAGTCATTGTTCATCCGACCAATGCTGTTTGTTTGTTTATGATTTAACGCCATACGAGCTACCTCGGCTATATTCATGGCGAGAACTGACCAATGCAAAAGCAAAGTCGCCCGTTCGAGAACAAAACATTTGCACAGCAAAACGACCAGTGCTAAGCTGATGGAGTGACTTTGAGAGATTTGTTCATCATCCATTAATGAGAAAGAAACATAACTATGAACAATAAAGACAGGGAAGTGCGTTTAAAAAAATGCCTCTTGGACAAAGAACTGTCTACTCTCAAGTATGTTGACGATAGCTTCACAATGGTAACATGAATTTGAATTTACTGCCCTGAATGAACTGAATGAAGAAAACCAAGCCTTATCCACTTGCATAGTCCACAAATAGACTGTGAATGTAAATGTATGAAGATGAAGAGCGGCAACAAAGACGCTGGAATCCTTCGGGGCAAAAAAACAAAAAAACAACCTTGGTAATCCTCTTGGCTCTAGAGCAGCAGTCCAGATCAGTAGCACTCCATGCTTTGCCCATGCTTTAAACACAAAGTAGTGACTTCCAGAATGTCTTTGCATCCAGGTTCATTCAAGATTTCCCAAACTCTGTAGGTCCATGTTTTTCGGAGAGCTTGCGCATCATATGACGTTTCTGCAGACAGATTGTGTCTCCTCTCTCCTGAGTATGTAGCCAGCAGCACAGAGAGGGAGGCGTCCGGATGTGTGCTTCCCGAGGTGGAGTTCGCTGTGTATGTAGAAGCCTGGGCATCCACTTTCTCCTCTCTGATGGTGTTGGTCAAAGACGCCGGGAAATCCAGAAAAAAGAACCGTAAAGAAATCGGGAACATCATTGAACTGATGTCATAAGCTCCACATCACATCCTCATGTGAACCAGTCACATGTCTGCAGAAGAACGGCCAGTTACTTCTCCCTAGAATGGAAATGAGAATAAAACTGAATATATATTTTCATTTCATTATGTATTTTCAAATATGATAAACAACTTAATAGACAGCAGACACGTGTATATGCTGCATTATATGTAGGGTTGGGAATCGAAAATCGATTCCGATTCCAGAATCGGATACTTGTAGTCAAATAAAAATTTCGATTCCGCCTATCGATTCCTATGCGCTTTTTTTTTTTCTTCATCTGTGAGGACCGGACCTAGTGATCTGCCAGGACCTTGCTCGCTAATCTAAGCCCTCCAAAGTGTGGCTACATTTGCGATCAGAAGCCAAAAAAGCTAAGTATAATATCTGCTATAGCTAAACATGTTGCAAGAGAGGTGTCACCACCAACATGACAAAGCACTTTAATTGAATAGATCGTTAAAGATCGCAAACACGATTCAAACACCAACGTGATTCTATTCCTAAATTACAATGATTCATCTGCTTCATTCCTCAACCTTTGCCGTGTGCGATCACACCGTTGTGATCACTCTTGGTTCGTCCGTGCAACGTACGATCACACCAGTGTGATTTGAACTAGAGACCTGCACTCCCGCGGGACCCAACGCAACAGGGTGCGGCGCAGGACAACTCTTGATGGGCGGGTGCGGGCGGGCGGGAAGAGACTCGTGTGTGTGCGGGATGCGGGAGAATAAAATGATTCGCGGGACTCCCGAAAAATAGAAATGATCTAAACATAAAAGAGATCTAATAACATTAAAATGATTAACACGCGCAAGCTAGGCAGAGTTTCTATTTATAACACGTGTTTAAAGGGTTGCGCAATGTAGCCAATCACAGACTCAGCTGTTTATTTTTTCTGGAACGCAATGGCCAATCAGAGGTGATTAAGTTAGAATCCACTCACCGCAGTGCTGAAATTGCGTGCTCACAAATCCTCTCATTTTAACACACGAAGTGTAGACATTGTGAATTGTGATTCAGTGTGCATATGTTCATTGTGTTATAACAGAGCTTTATGAGATCGCGATTAACTGAGATGTCAGCTTTTAGTGATAATAAAGGAAGCGCTGCTGGCATTCTTCCATGCCAAACCAAGCATGCAGCAGCCCATGCTTGCTTTTCTGTTAAAAATAACAGTGGTTTGTGAATGTTGATGCTTAGATTAAATAACAAATATTTTATCGGGAGCATTAATGCTGGGATGTTGTGGATCTTAGGAGATGTTACAGAACCACTTAATGTACATTTCTTTGATGTGCTGAAAAAAAATCTATATAGATTACTTTTATGCAGGCTTTTGCGGGCGGGAGCATGAATGTCGCGGGCGGGAGCGGGCCCAGATAAGATATTTTTCTGTGGGAGCGGGCAGGAGCGGGACATAATCTTGCGGGAGCGGGACTGAAAAATCCGTCCCGTGCTGGTCTCTAATTTGAACATTTAAATCTGCGTTCGAGCTGCCGTTGACCTGAAGAGAGCAGCTGTCATCTGTCATGAATGAAACAGCTTCACAATCTTTTCAACCACACAGTATCATTAGTTCTGTTACAAACATTCAAATCACAGAAGTACTAGGATAAAAGTTTATAGTTCGGATATAAACTCTGATATGTAGGGTAGTGATTCAAATAGAGTAAATCACCTTTTGAAAGTAATTTGACACTTCAAATGAAGATTTATCGATTACATTGTTACGCCAGTAGGTGGCGAAAAGGAGCTGTTAAAATGTATTTGTCTTTGAATCATACAAGAGATTTGTTCAAGAACGCTGATGAACTTAAATCATTTATTCATAAATTACATGTGATTTTGTTTAGTTGTCTAATATGTTTTCTTCATGAGAGATCCACAACTTCCATTGGGAAAAAAAAAAAGAAAGAAAAAAAAAACTCAATTTATCCAGAATCATGCAGTTCTATTTTGCACACAACAGCTTTTAGAGAGTCCAGTTTTTATGTAGCCTGTTGACTTTTGTTCATGGTATTCAGCTCCAATTAATGGTTTGCAAAAAAGAGACAGGATAAATGTTTGATATCATTATTTAATCACATTGGAATCGAAACTGGGAATCGAAAAGAATCGGAATCGGAATTGATAAAATTCAAACGGTACCCAACCCTAATTAGATGGGACTAAACAAGCCATTGTAGTCAAGTATGAAAAGGCCTTGGGAATTTTTTTAGATTTTGACCACTAGAGGACAGCAAAGACTGTACAGCACTTAATTCCAGGGAATCAGTCAAAATTTAGGGCTGGACGAGATATCAATATTATTTTGTTAGCAATATAAAATTAACTTGCGTTGTGAATATTGTGATGATTGTAATATGCTTTTTATTGCCCATTAAGTTTCTAAAGACCATGGGAGTAGCCTAGTTATACATCCACTTCTTGTGCCAAGGCTTGTTTGTGAGATAATAAAGACATATTTTAATAGCAACAAAAATGAGTTAGGAGGTTCAATTCATTTCTGCAGCTCAGTTCTTTCAAACTGCCCAGTTTAAAGAATAAACACATTGAACGATTCACCTAAATGTATGTGGAAGCCCCTCATAGCATTTTTGCATGCTTTAAAATACTTTAGGGAAATAAATATACATATGGTAAATATGGTTGTTTATCACTATGCATTGTTATGATGGCCCATTAAACAAAAGAAAACGAAAAATTTTTTTACTACAATTTGCTTTAAATATTTTGAATCTACCAAGCAACAATGACTTTCTGCCAAAATAATGGTTCTGCTGCTAAAACACCTACAGATATTTAAAAGTGGTGGAAAATACTGTATATATAACTACATTGCCCAATGCATAAAGTAAAATCTTTGTGCTTGAAGATAAAGATGAATCTTCTTACCATTCTCACCTCCGTGCTGGAGGGTAAAGCGAGGGGGCAGAGGCTTGTTGACTGGCAACAATGGCGGAAGAGGAGATACCTGTGAGATGGAGAAACACCTTAATTATGTATCAGTGTTTCTGAAAGACTACTTTTAAAAACAGGAGGCCAGGAGGTCAAGGCCAGCTTCTGTGATAACACATGAAAATCCTTTACTGATTTTACAGAACACCCCCGATTTTACTGATGATACTGATTTTACAGCGTGATTGTCCTCCCTCCCCACTCCCCTGCTGACCTGCACTCACACTTGCAATAAACATTCTGGGCCAGAGCACGCTTACATAATGTATGAGATAACGGAGAAAACCACTTTCGCTAAGATTCTGCCTAATAAATTTATAATTTATGCCGTGCAGCAATTTTCACTTATTTATACAGGTGCATCTCAATAAATTAGAATGTCGTGGAAAAGTTCATTTATTTCAGTAATTCAACTCAAATTGTGAAACTTGTGTATTAAATAAATTCAATGCACACAGACTGAAGTAGTTTAAGTCTTTGGCCACGACATTCTAATTTATTGAGATGCACCTGTATGTATCAGAGAATTATTACAAAGACAGCTGATGTTAATGAAATAATTTGCAGCTTTACTTGCAAACTACAATTCCTGTTCATCAATAAGGTCAGAACCAGACCTGTTATAAACCTAAATATACTTGATTTAAGTAAATTAATTGAAAAGTGTAGTGTAGTAATAGTTCTAGATAGGGGCGCTCCGATCAGGATTTTTGAGGCCGATCACAGAAAGCAGTATCTGCGATACGATCACCGCTACCAATCTTTTTAAAGCCTTATTTTTATCATGTAGAATTATTTATAGTAATACTCCAATCAGGAATTTTAGACATTTATTCAGGGCCTGAATTTCATTTTTGAAAATGGGGGGAATTCTCCTCTAGAATTATTTATAGTAATACTCCAATCAGGAATTTTAGACATTTATTCAGGGCCTGAATTTCATTTTTGAAAATGGGGGAATTTCCCTCTTATAGGTGACTCTTGTGAGAGGGGATTTTTTTTTTAATTTGAGGGGTGGAGGGGAGCATTTTTTTGACTTTTTAAAAATATATATATTTATCTCACCTAAATGTTCGATCATGCAGTGCATTTTTGTTTTTACACTCGTGCAATTGTTGCACAATAGCTTACACACAGCACAAAACAGTTGCTCAAGCAAGTGGCAAAACATTTAAAATACTTTTCTTACGTTATCACAAACATTCTAAATGAAAACTTACCACTGACAGAAACAGAAACTGCCTTTTTTTCCATTTAAAACTTCATTACAAGCAATCCTGCAGTTCATAAAGAACTTTGTTTTCCTACCTCCACGAGTGCCATGCCATCTATTATTGCCTTGTTTATCTAAAAGTGCTCCTTTCCTTTAAACCTAGCCAAAAAGCCATATGTGTTGAATGTCCTGATATATGCATTTATGGTGTAATTACAAAATTTTCATATTTACCGCAAAACATGCGCTGTCACTTTAGTTCAGCGCGTGCAGCAAACTCGGTGTGGAATCAATCGCTGCACTGCTGTAGACTGCTTATGGAACGCACTGCCGGACCGCAACCGTGTGCAGTGTGAACGCTTTAAAATCCGTTAACATGAGCATGGAAAAAATACATACCACATAGGCCTACGCACTGCGAATGGAGTATGTGTGAACCTGGCGTTATGCGTGTGCGCTGGAGTGTGCATGAGCACTCAGTCTCCAGGAGAGCGCGCGAGCGCTGAATGGTTAAACACTGGCAAGTATTAAAAAGAAATGCAATTTATAAACTTTAGTGACAACACTGCCTCAATTGTGCAAGTGAAAATTCCTGTGTCAACTGTGCTGCGTGCAGCTCGCTTATAAAGACGCGATGTGTGGTAATTTGAAGCCGTTTGCGCATTTTGAGAGAGCGCACGGTGATTCACTCACGCTGTTTGTGAAATTATGTCTCACAGAAAGTTTTCAAATTACTTTAGAAGTTATTTAATGAAGAAATATGAATTGCACCTCACCTTCAGCATTTTAATTATTTTACCCGCGCCGAACAGAGACTGACGGTGCCGCTGCATGTCATGCCAAATCTCTTACAGCAGGCGCGTCATCAGCTTTAGATTGGTTTATGAGATCTGCCTTTTTAAACACCGCCGATCAAACATCCCAAAGCGATTATCGGCCGATAGTAATCGTAGCCGATCAATTGGAGCACCCCTAGTAATAGAATGTTTGTGGTCGTAATGATGACAGTAGCGCACACAAAATAGTAGCTGTTCTGTGCTCCGGCGCGGTGAGTACTTACACTATACGCGTACTGCGCCCGAGTCCAACTGAACCGTGCTTTGGCCCACCTCTTCCAAGCGAGCCAGGGACGGCTAAACGAACCGATCACACTAGTCAAACGAACCGGGCTTTGGGGGTCAAACACGCTCGGGCACGGTTCAAAACGCCTAATGTGAGTACACCCTAAGCTATTTTTATAGTTTACCTGTAGCATAGGACAGGTCATACTGTCCTGGGAGTAGTGGATAGCCTAGGTGATGGTGGGAAGGCATGATCCTCTGAGAGGGCGAAGATCTCGGACGTTCGCTGTCTCTTTCCCTCTCGCTCCCACTTCTGTCTCTTTCATGGGGCATCTTTTCACCCACCGTGGGCGATTTGCTCTTGTATTGGCTAGCATGCTGATGCAGGATGTCCAGAGCTTTAGACTCAGATGCAGACTTGCCACTCACTGTAGGACTGGCACGAGCCTTCTCACCCTCCTCTCCAGGTGGCATCTTACTGCCATATGGAGAAAAAGAGTACCCTGGTGACAGGTATGACCCTAGGAAAGGGGTGAAATGAATAGTGGCCCTTAATATAAGGTAAAATTAAATACTGTGGTTATAGTTAGCTCTACAACGGACTTACCAGGGTAATTCTGCATCATGACAGTAGGCATCCCCCTGTATCCTGGATGGCTGGGATCATAACCCTGGCCATAGGGGTATCCGTGCATGTAAGACATATACGACTGGTGCTGCGGCAGAGGTGAGGAAAACTGCATATGTGCTCGTGGATCTTTGCTGACTCCTCTATGCTCCTCTGAGGCAGCCAAAGTTCGTGGTTCAGCCCCTTCCTTGCTTTCCTCTTTGGAGGGAGTGTCTTTAGGACGCAGCCTTCCGTCTTTGCCTTTCCGGTCTCTCTCGCGGTCTCTGTCCCGATCTCTTTCCCTTTCACGCTCACGATCCCGCTCTCTCTCTTCCTTCCATCTCTCCTCATCAATCTGTTTCTGAGCATCGGGGTACTTGCTGGGGTAAACGTAGGGCCACAGTCGAGAGTCTGGGTCCTGGGAAAGAAAGTAGAGTTTGAAATGCCCATTATGAAAGAAAGATAAGTGCATAGTGAGGATTATCAAAATGTCACTCTCAAGAGTTGTACATTTCTCAAAAAAATCCATAAAGGTTAAAACTGTGATGAAAATGATTCAACAACTACATTGCAGAAAGAAAATGTTTAAGCAATGCTCGAGGCATCTTAAGTTTCATACCTGTCTGTACATGTACATTGCCTGCTCCATAGCCGATCTCCCAGACTCAAGGCCTGGTTTCTGCTCATCTTTCGCATTATGTCCAGCTTCACTTAGCTTCATTTTCAACCCCTCACCTTGCTGGGTCTGTCCCTTGCCATCTTCTCCTTTGGGGATAATGACTGACTTGCCAGGCTCCGAGGGATCTTTAGGCTTGCCCTGTGGGAACGGTTTGCCCAAATCTGAGAGACTTGGCGCTTTAGACAAGGTAGGAGGAACCAAAGCTTTCTGCTTCCATTCTTCTTGCTTCATGGATGCTTCCCTATCCTTCTGAGCAGCCTCTGATTTCTTCTCTGCAGCACGATGCTGCTCAGCCGCTTGCCGTTGCCGGTCCTCACACTGCTGCCTGTAAGCTGGGTTTGTGCTCATCAGGTGGTTATGGTAGGCCTGATCAGGCGAATAGCCATAGGGAGGTACATAAGCATACTGATTGTAATAGAGGGGCTGCATGAACATGCTAGAACGCTGCTGAATGACTGAAGGCTGCGGTGGCTGCTGAGAGGATGCAACTATTTCTGGCTTTCGATCTTCAGATGGCTCTGATTTGCCCTTGTCATTCCCAGGTTCTGGGTCGTCTTCTTTTTTCACCTTCACTGCACCATCTTGGAATGATATGACAGTGTTAGAAACTCCTGTACTAGGGTTTGGGTTGACATAATTGGGCGAGTAGTACGTTTCATAACCTGGGTAATAAGAAGAGTCTTTGTTTGGTGGTTGGGATGGGAACAGGGATTTCTTGGCACCTTCCCGAACTGCCTGATCCTCAGACTTGTCCTTCACTTTTCCCTCTCCATCTTCCCCTGCATCAGAGATGTCTGAGTACGCTGGGCTGTTGGTCTTCACAGAAGAGTTATCAGCCCCATTTTGGGTAACCACATGAAGTGGAGTGAGAGGTTGCGCCATCCCCCCACTTTCTATCCGACTGGCCACACCTATAGAAGGACTGGGAGAATTATCAGAGAAGCTGTAGATTTTGTCCGCCTCTGCTTTCATGCTGGCTAGCCGACTTTGATGTGGATCTGTGGATCCATTTAACAGCCCCTCACTCTTGCTGCCTTGGTCTGAGCTCTCAGAATATGGGCTTTTGCCTTCTTCAGGTTTCCCTCCTTTGCCAGGGGCTTTTGGACTGTCTCCTTCCTTACCACCCTCCTTCTTTTTCTTATCTTTCTTTTTCTTGTCCTTAGAGCTTCCCAAGGCTGGGTTCATTGAGGGATCTCCCATTACTGCAGGTTTGGGTTGAATCGTTTTTAGTTGGGGGCTCTTACTAATGGACTGGACCATGGAGCCCATGCTGGAGGAGGAGCCAGAATTGGGGGCAGGGAAGCTAGAGGTTGGTAAGGCGTACAACTGCTGTGGAGGTAAGGAAGGAACAAGGGGCCTTGCAGACTTCATTGCCTTCTGAGCGAGCTTGTCTGCCTTGGAACCACTGCCAGACTTCTTAGCTTTGTCCAAACCTCTTTTATCATCAATGCCATCGTTGCTTGTCTCATCTGTAAGACATGGGCCATCTCCACAGCCATCCATGGGCACACCAGAGTCATGCTCAGCCTCTGATTTCTTCTTACCAGGCTGCTTGGAGCTGAACTTTCCTGATGATGGTGATGGGCTCTGCGCATCAAATCCTCTGCCTTTGGGGGTGACTGACCGTGCAGGAGACGCACATCCCTTCTGAGAAATGGATGCACCATTGCAACTGCCTGGCTCTGGGTGCAAAGTGGAGTCCTCACCATACTCACTATCACCATCTATGTCCAGCTTGATGTCATCATCATTGTGAGCACGAGCCTGGTGATACTTCAGGCCGTTAATGTGCTTGTACTTCTTGTTGCAGTTGGGATGGGGGCAGTCGATAAGCACTGGTGAGGGGCAGTTGCGATCCAAAGAGGGAGGCAAGGATTCAGCTTTGACGTTGGAGAGGGGAAGAACAGTATGAGGTAATCCACTGTTTGAATTGGTTCGCATACGTTTGCTACCCTTAGTGTCCTCTGAACTGGAATTGGGCTCCATGTCTGAGACAGGTTTGTTCTTGCGTTTGTTAGCAGATGAAGGACTAGCTTTTACATCCTCAGTGTTGCTGTTTGGTGGGGTGCGCCGCTCAGAGGAATGCTGACTACCCCGTCGCCCTTTGCAGTTGGACGCGGCTCGAGTCTTGCTGTTGTTGCTGCCTTTATTATCAGAAGAGTTGCTGTTCTCGTTGACTGGCGTATTGCTATTGGGCCTCATTCTTTTACCCCGTCCACGGCCATTCCTCATCTCCAGGTCACTTGTGGGTGACTCACAGAACCTGAGGAAGCAGAAGGGGGAAAAAAAATCAGTTCTATATGAAAAATAACTTTTCCATTGACAATGAATTCATTATCATCAATCAAATAAATAAGCACTGTTCTTTTTCCACCTAAACCTCTCACAATTATCTGCAAACCACAAAGGGTGCTAACAGTGCTGCAGATATTCTGTCGGATGAGAGATGGCCTCTGTTCTAAATCAGCCTCTCCATTTGGATGCTATAAGTGCTCCTCCAGTGGGCCCTGGAGAGCCAGCAACGTGCTGTGTGTTTTTATCCTCTCGTTATCCCTGATCTCGACAGCAATGCTTGTTCTGATGAATTGCATGCAGTTCCACACCGCTGCAGGATTAAGCCAGGGTGACCTGGTTGCTGATTAGATGCAGTGTGATAACATCCTCCAACAGATAAGGCACAGACTCGGAAGCAAGATCAACCAGAGAGCTTGATCAAAGCACAGGCATTAAACCGTAGTAAAGCAAAGCAGTTAAGGAAGCTACCTCAGGGCCCCCAGTCCACAGAACAGGACTGAGATTTTTAAGGCCCAGCAGAATGAAAAGATAATATATATCATAGGCTGATAGGTAATGTTAAGATAGATTTAACGGGAGAAAATCTGTCTGTCAAATAGGAATGTGCATTTTCATCAATTGGGGGTTAGAAGGAACAAGATATGGTCTTTTTTCAGTTGTTGGTTATACAATAATTTCATGACATGTTGCAATCAAAAGTCTCGCGGTATGATTTTCAGATGGTGCATCAAGTCACTGCATTCAGTTCTGCAAGTTGTCACCCCCCTTTAACTAACTGGACCACAAGTTAACACCCAAATCAGCACTGTCACTTCTGAGTTTGTGTCAGATCTGTCAACAGAGGCTTCAGCAATGGTGATAGTAAAAAGAAAAAAAAATACAGGAATGACTTTTGCATTGAACTTTAATTGCTTTAACCTGTTCCAGGGACTACATGTGACTCAAAGCAGCTGTGACTGGAAAGCAAACATACAGAAGAAACACTCCTATATGAATGCACTGCATCATCTTCGACACTCTTCCCAGGGACTAATGCTGTGTTAGTAATGTTTGCCTGCAGGCTCCTGGAGAAATCAATTCCTTTATGATGTTGCATTTCAAAAAGTGGGTGTCAGCAGAGGGGGATTTTGAGACATTACCCTCCAATGTTTCCTTCATTACTGCAATGGCAGCACACAAAAGCCCAGAGGAGACGATGAGAGGATCAAGTATGTAGTGGCCAGAATTAATTCAAACAGATCTATTGTTCAAAAAATTAACATCATACTGTATTTGTTTGGCAAAGCTGTGTCACATTCTAATAGGGACTGGTTTCATAACAAGCTGTACATATGCATCTGAAAATTATGTTGAATTTTCCCTACAAAAAATAACAGCATAAGCTTACCGTGGGGGGGCCCAGTCATGTCGAGTGCAGTCTAAAAGCGTGCCCACATACGTCTTGTTCCTCCAGGTAACATTTACAACCAGCATACCTGCAGAAAAAAACAACAATATAGGAAATAAGACTTCAACTACTGAAACATAATAAAGTCTCAAGTGATGGTTTCTTTTACTTAAGCTGAACGAATGCACCTTTTAGCAAACTGCGATCATCTGTTAAACAGATCACCAATAAGGACAAAACTACAACTAAGATCATCTCAAGTCAAAAGATCTATTTGGGGATCTTAGACCCAGACTACCCTAGTGAAAAATAAATATACTAAAATGTATTTGAAATCCGTTTATTTCATGCTAAGTATACTACAAATGAATTTACATATTTATGTACTTAATAAAAATACCCTGCAATTGTACTTTTAGTATATTAAACGGGTATACTTACAGTCTGCTAAATTAGAACAACTAATTTTCTACGTAATGCACTTTAATTGTGCGGAAGTAGTGCTGAAGTCCAACTAAAGATATACTGACGTATATTTGATTGTGCTTAAGTGGAACTATTCCAAGCATACTTCACGTACACTTTAAATATCTTGCATTTTAAGACAGATATTATTCAGAGATCATACAAATTCTCATCAATAGTGACATTAAAACACATTTTAGGCTAAATATTAAGAAATGTGCATTGTGCACAAGTAGTACCCCAAATAAAGTTTTATTATAATTTTACTAGTAAGTCTCAAGCGATATGTCAGAAATTATGTTAATGGATTTGAACTATACTTAATATGAAATAAATGTATTTTAAATATATTACCGTTTTACTAGGGTAGGTTTGTATGCAATAAGCATTAGCCTAGTTCTTGATCTACACAAGTGAGAGTTGGCAAAAAAAGATAAATGATTGCTTGTTGGCACAAGTATACTGCCGATTTTACATTCCTCAGCACAGATGTCCAAATTTAGAACACCTCCTGTATAAAGACAACAGGAACAGCAGGGTGCACAAAAACCTATTAATATGCAGAGGGAAGTAAAGGATAGAGAGGAAAAGAAAGGGGGGTGGGGAACACTGGTCAGCCCATGTCCTCCATCTGACAATTCTGTAGTATGCAGGGACTCCATATATATTTCGTGTTTGTTTTGAACTGGAACCCATCCAAAAAGAATCATCCGCATCCAGCGTTCCCAAGATCTGTCAACTTCAATCTCGGCTTCCTGCAGGCTGTGTGCCATCTGCTTGACATTTAGCACAACAAAATCCAGACATTGAGAGATGAAGAGTGCCAAAAGAGTGACAGGAAATTAGCCTACACCTACTGAACCTCATTTGTTAACACCAGGTGGCAGCAGCTATCATTTTTGAAGGATGTAGTATCAGGAAACATCAAGTGCCTGGAAGACCGTACACACCTCTACAACTCCCCAGCCACCCACAATGCAATTCCACCGCACACTCTCTAATTGTGCGGAAGTAGTGCTGAAGTCCAACTAAAGATATACTGACGTATATTTGATTGTGCTTAAGTGGAACTATTCCAAGCATACTTCACGTACACTTTAAATATCTTGCATTTTAAGACAGATATTATTCAGAGATCATACAAATTCTCATCAATAGTGACATTAAAACACATTTTAGGCTAAATATTAAGAAATGTGCATTGTGCACAAGTAGTACCCCAAATAAAGTTTTATTATAATTTTACTAGTAAGTCTCAAGCGATATGTCAGAAATTATGTTAATGGATTTGAACTATACTTAATATGAAATAAATGTATTTTAAATATATTACCGTTTTACTAGGGTAGGTTTGTATGCAATAAGCATTAGCCTAGTTCTTGATCTACACAAGTGAGAGTTGGCAAAAAAAGATAAATGATTGCTTGTTGGCACAAGTATACTGCCGATTTTACATTCCTCAGCACAGATGTCCAAATTTAGAACACCTCCTGTATAAAGACAACAGGAACAGCAGGGTGCACAAAAACCTATTAATATGCAGAGGGAAGTAAAGGATAGAGAGGAAAAGAAAGGGGGGTGGGGAACACTGGTCAGCCCATGTCCTCCATCTGACAATTCTGTAGTATGCAGGGACTCCATATATATTTCGTGTTTGTTTTGAACTGGAACCCATCCAAAAAGAATCATCCGCATCCAGCGTTCCCAAGATCTGTCAACTTCAATCTCGGCTTCCTGCAGGCTGTGTGCCATCTGCTTGACATTTAGCACAACAAAATCCAGACATTGAGAGATGAAGAGTGCCAAAAGAGTGACAGGAAATTAGCCTACACCTACTGAACCTCATTTGTTAACACCAGGTGGCAGCAGCTATCATTTTTGAAGGATGTAGTATCAGGAAACATCAAGTGCCTGGAAGACCGTACACACCTCTACAACTCCCCAGCCACCCACAATGCAATTCCACCGCACACTCTCAATCAAGCAACTGACCTTCCTAAACGCCACAAAAAAATTGATCTATGGTGCTTTTGAGGACAGCCTCTGCAACCTCTCATTGTGACTGACAAAGCACACGAGATATCTGTTTGATTTCAAGCTGCAATATTCCATCTAAGCTCCTAAAAGAGGTGCTTCCAGAAGTCATAGATCCTCTTCTGACTATTATTAATTCATCATGGTTCCTTGCCGCTGTCGCCTCTGGCTTGCTTAGTTGGGGACACTTCATTTCCAGCGATATCGTTGACTTGATTGCAAATGATCGCAAAGATACTATTTAAACTGAACTGAGCTGGATGATGACATCACTGAATTCAATGATGAACTGCCTTTAACTGAAAAATTAGTGTTTACTATTGTCATTTTGCATTATTGAAACACTATTTTCCTAATTAATGCTGTTCAGTTACTTTGACACAATCTGTATTGTTAAAAGCGCTATATAAATAAAGGTGACGACTTGACTGCAAGGCGCTATTCGCAATGGGGCATCAATTGCCTGCTTCTAAAACAGCTTATCAAGAGGTGCCAGGCAATAAAAATTTCACACCGCAGTCGACTGCAAAGGGAGACAAAAACCCTCCATGTGTTTAGTTCTGCCTTTCACGCTGCGTTTCCTTGACAACTGGCAACTGTGAGCAGGCACTGCAACGGTGCTCATTCCATCTCAATGACACAAGTGAGGAAATTGAGCAGAATACTCGAATCGTCTCTCCAAATGGGAAATGTCGATAATTGGCCTTTTGTACGAGACTGAAAAAAATACCACTACATCTGCTAACAATTAGCATGACATCAGCTGTTGTTGGAATGGCAATTGTTACCACTGAAACCGGACCCAGGACCACCGAAGTGGCAAGGTGAATTGCAAAGTTAACCAACCTGCCAATTCAGTGTCGTTTTCTGAAACGTATAATATTATTTCAAATGGCACGCAGCGCAAGGACCTTATTCCAGCACCCTATAAAAGGAAGCTGTAATTGGAACCCTGTCTGATTCTTTCGGTTTCAGAGCCTCATTAAAACACATTGAAACAGTCCAGTACAGTACAGGCTGGGAAACAGGTGTGTACTCGCTTCCAGAAATAATAAAGAGTATTATGACACAGGTGTGCCACACAGCCAACGGGAAAACACCACGACGTACAGAGAATATGTATGTGCGTAACTCACATTCCCTGCCAGTGACCTCTACGTGTCAGCAAGTCTCTTGACGAAACCTGAGCACTAGTCGTCAGCTTTGAAGAGACATTTGCACCGGAGACCTTTACTGCAGACTACTTCAGTTTTTATAAGCTAAGAGAGAGTACAATGTCTGCTGTATAACTGCAGGTGTGGCTGCAAATTCTCCCGCATGGTTCATATTTCCACAGTAGGTGATTAATTCTGTAAATGGAAGCCCTGACCTGCTCAGACCGACAGCCTCCTAATGTTTACCAAACACAAACGGTCTTCCCAGCAAACATAGAACATTCCCTCATGTTAGCGTTTGGTTATTTTTCTGGGAACCAAAAAGTGTTTTAAGAAATTTCTCTCAAGGTTCTTTTTTTGCAACCATAAACGTTTTCACAATAGCTATGTTTCCATCCACCTATTTTTATGTGCATTTTGGAATAGTTTTATCCGTTAAGAAAAAATTAGCATAAACTATGATGGAAACACATTTACCTAATAAATTCCTCCATGCGCATCAAAAAAGTAATATGACTTTGCACGATGGGACGGGATAACTTGACTAACCAGCGGACCGATCTCGTTGCACAGCATTTGAAATGTTGTTTTGGTCGTTCTGAAATGCCTGAGCAAAGTCTGTCATCAAAGTATTTCTGTATAATTGTCTTGCACGACTGTGTTCCCAAACAGCAGGCATCCACCTCCAAAAACAATGACCGCATTTATTGTTTCGTCTGCTCACTCTGAGGTGCAAGTAATTTATCATATATGGAAATTATTATATTCAGTTGCTTCTCTTACTTAGTGATATTTAGTGCCAGTTTATCAGGAGATACAAATCTGAAATACAACCTAGTCTTAAACAATCCCTCACTTCACAGTGCTATGAACATAGCATAGTAAAAACCTCCCCACACCCTATGCCTTCATTCATCTGTAATTAGTCACAGATAACCTGTAAATCTTAGCATTCTCACAGGTTTGGTCGCAGACAGATTAAGACAGCGCTCCTAATTGTGAAGATTAAGGCAAGCGAGGCGATGAGAACTGGGGGTTGGAGGGCTGCTGGAACCGGCTACAAACAATGAGACATAAACCCCAACCTTGTTTCCATCTGCTCATGAAGCAGCCATTTATTCACTCTCGAAAGCCGCCCAATCATTAACCAAGCTGTAACTCTCTCCCTCTCTCTGGGGAAGGGAGCCTCAGGCAGTTGGTTCCACTTATCTGGTGAATTCTTTCAACGTTACACATTTCCCTCCTCTCTATGCCAATTAAATCTTATGCAATCTGCAATTCTGCAAATGGTTATCTGCACGGATCGACAAACAAGAATACATATCTTAATGCCACTTGGTTTGAAACAAACTGCAGCTCTAAGCGGAGCACTCGCTCCAAAGCACGCTGAGCTAAATCAGACACTCTGAGATGATTCTACGTGACAGATTCACTG